CTGACAGCTATACCTTATGTTAACAAGAGCTCCAAGAATAGCAACAATACACAGAGTATAAGCATTAAATCCAAAACTAGACAACTAATGCCTTTAACTTTAAATATATTACAATTATTTATTCAAATAAATAATAAGAATAACAATAATTATAATAATTAAGAAAAATAATTATATATTAATTATAAAAAGGAAATCAATAAAGTGGTTGAAGAAAAATTTTTGTAGAACTTCTATATTATCCTTTTTTATCTTATACATATAGCTGCATTTAAAATATTTATTTTTAAAAAGAAAATAATGTTCGCTCACTAGTCTTGAAGAAAAATAAACATCATGAAATTAAACATTAAGACATACCAAGAAGTACATCATATAAAAATACTACACTGTTTGACATTTGTAATCTTACAATCGTTAATTATTTCTGAATTGAGAGATACAGTGCCACCCAGTAGTATTTAGATAGAGCTGCGTATCTGCCTCTGTATACACATATATATCCGTATATTAGAGACAGCTCAGTATCTCCTCTTGCTTGTGCGGGGTGTTCTAAAGATGAAATATTTTTTAGTGACATCCACAATTTGTACCAACTGAAAGAGCATTTAGAGAAAATATTTTGTTTAATTTTGACTTTTGCACCAAATGTCAATAAATTTGTCTTTATTTGTACTTTAATACAGATTTCACATATGTAAATATATTCAGATACTCATGGGTTTGTTCATTTTATTCTTAATGTTTGTTTGTGGTATTTTTTATGGATTTCCAAATGCGCATGACTTACGATTTCGGTAATTACTGAAGATTAATGATCAACTAAAATGCTTAGAAGAAGAGTTATGACTAAACAGACTTTTTGAACTGATAAACAATTTATTGAAAAAAGTTTTAAAATTATTTAGAAAACAATTCAGTAAATTTTAAATAAATTAAACGTTTTGTATTCTATAAATTGTAATACTCTGTCAATGATCTATTTGTTCAAAATCATTAAATGAGCTCACAAAATATGGTATACTAACTTTGCATATTTGAATTTTTAATATATTAAGTAAGCTACATAGGCATAGGATTGAAGTTCTATCCAAACATTTACTCTTTTTTTAAAATTACGTTAAAATTTTTATTATTATTAAATGGATAAACTATAATCCAAGACACAGGTGGTTCGTTGTGTTAAACCAGAATTAGTGGATAGATTCTGCCTTTGAAAATATTGTCTACAATATTCAATTTTTATGAATAATACGTTTTATTATTCATTCGCCCTGGATATTCTCATATTTGGCTCTCAACAACTACTAAATATACGAAAATCGCGAAAGAATGCTCGAAAGAGGAGAAATTTGCTTCAATCATCACCGAAACAGTAGACTCTTTTTTAAATCTTGACAAATTTAAAGAGTATAGACATATGAAAAAAACATATTAAAGGAAAATTGATTAGTAAATTGACTTGTTGTTGTTGTTGTTGTGATTTGAGTTAGTGCTATTGCGCATTTTTACTCTATTGTGGCTGGGGGGCTTATCCCTGCCCCACACTAAACTTGAACTATACTAGAATCATTATCATTTATTTATTTTCTAACTGATGACGGACCGTAGATCACTTGTATTTTTTAAAATAATATTTTCATTTATCAGACTAAAATCTCTTCATATCCTCAGTTAGATTTACTTCATATCTTATAAATATTGTAACACATTTATCGATGTTTTTTTTTATTAAAACTTAAATGATTAATAACACAAATTTTTCTTTAATTATTTGAACACAGTCATATAAGTCGAGACGGTTGGAACAGAGTCATATGTAATGTGACTATGTCATAAACTGAGTTTCAAACCACGCTTTAGTTTCTTTATTTCTTTTTTAAATTAACTTTTCATGCGACACTAAGTGCAATACCCGTACTATTATATGGTAATATGATCTGCCACCAAAGAAATCATTTGTTCATAAGAGTAAATAACACATTTAAATTGCTTCACAGCACTACAACCTTTAAGTAAATGCAATTGGTGTTATCAATTACTAGCAAGATATTATTATACTTGGTTACAGCTCAAGTATGAGTAGTAACATAACGCAAAGGAAATATACCTAGTACTGTTTAATAATTAAGAAAACGTGATTTAAATATTGACATAATGTTCAAGTTATTATCTAGAAGTTACTCATAACTAACGTGTACACGTTAGTTTTACATTATTTGGCCTATTAATATTGTACTCAACTGTAGGGTATTTTATTAATCAATATTACAGCACACATTTCCATTAGTGATTCAATTTCGCCGCTATTATTACTACTCACGCTTATCCAATAAGTACCGAGATGTACTTTTACATTTGCACGTACAAGTACTTCTTTTTAGAACTTTTCTGCTTTCCTCAATAAACTAAAACCACTCACTCACAAAGAGTTCAGAAGTAGTAGCAAGTGCAAGTGTTTAACGGCAAATATTTATTAGTATTCCACAAAACAATCATCACAATTATGACCCATAGACGAAGTCAATAACAATTCTGAAGATTAAGCAGCTTTGTGCACGTTTGTTTAAATATTAAACAAAAAAAAAAAAATTTTATGAATGAAAATGAGGCCGATATACTGAGTCAACATCTGTAGCGGATAGATCTTTGGCTGAGAATTTTTTTTTTTGTTTCTTTAACAGAAAGCACAATTTACACTATACGAAACAAATTTTTTAAAATCTTTTTTGTAGAATTTATGGTAATTTATGATGCAATTTGGGTTTTTTTGAAGTGCACAGATGATCGATTTAGTGAATTGGTTATTAAGTAAAAAATAAGTAAAATTTATAAACGAAGCATTAGAGAGATTAACTATTTAATGAAAGATTAAATAAATTCTTCTTTTTAACACACAGCAATAATATACTACATATAAAACATTAGAAGCATTTCGCCGACGAAGACAATAGCGATAAATACAATATTTTCATATGAAAGGTGGAAATACTGGTATCTATATGCCAAGTAACGTGTAGAATTCAAATGAACCACAGTTATCCCCCCTAAAACCCTCTATAACACGGAAAATTAGTTCCGCGTTATAGGAAAACGCGTTATAGGGGTATTTGCGAAGCTAGTAATGAACTATACAAATCCCCGCGTTATATGAGGGAATAATGCCCGTCTTATATGGGGGTTTGAAATCGCGTAATATGAAAACGCGTTATAGGAGTACCGTATTAAAGGGGAGAGCGGGGGGATTACTGTATCTTGGTGACATTCAATGTTGCAAACTAATCACATAATAAGATTGTCACAGTGCTCACATGTGTGCGAAAAGCATTTATTTTTCTAAAAAATTATACGAATTGCAAAAATAACTAAGATCAACTACTAGTAACCGATATCTTAGTCTAACACTAGAAATGCCATTGGGATATAATATTATATAACTGATGTAGCTATTTCTGTTTGATAAAAACTGAATTTTTTTAACTAAACTGTACAGAATATAAACTGTAACATCAAAGCAAGCAAGACCACGGCACGAGTATCTGCCGAATCCAGTAAAAATGCCGGTAAAAAGATTTAATACATAGTGCGTCGAGTGGACAAGACGCAACTACTTGACCAAACTAAAAACACCAGCCACAACAACAAACAAACAAACATCACAACTAATTAACAAACCTTCTATTGTTAGCAGCAATACTATACCCTATGTAACTCCTTCTAACCGAACAGCAAACAATAGCTAAAGGCTGGAGCAGGAAATGGTGTACATCTGAATCATCTGAAAAACCAATAATTAACAATAACAGACTTGTTATTATAACAGTAGTAATAAATAATACAAAACGTACAGAGAAAGGCGATGGACTACATAACTCAAGTAAATCCTTTAAAAGTTCGGTTCATTACTCAGTGATATATACCGACCACGAGGAAATCATTGAGTTAAATTGCGAGTGGCGGTTATTGAAGAAAGTTATGGTTCAGATCATATCTATAAATCGTAAGGAGTTTTACATCACTTAGACATCAGAACTAGATGTTACAATACATGATGATTTATGAGACTTATGAAGTGCATCAGAAGTAAGCACGCCGCTTACCGACGAACACTGAACGACACGTTATATCTGATCCGAATAAACAGACAAGTCCAAGTAGTTGCACAATGTCTTCATTAGCGGAAAGAAGAAGGAGTGAAATTTACCGCAATAAATTATAACGCCACATAATTTATATATAGTCACATATAAGTACTTGGAAATTGAAAATGGGATTAATATTTTATGTAGAAAATTCTTATGTCATAAACTCATACAATAACATACAACATAAAAATCGTATAGAATCATCTTATGTGATAAACTTTTTTAGATGATCTAATGAAACATGGGACTGCTAATAAATATACGTTCGTTAATTCAGAAACTATTAGTACAGCGTAGACTTATGTTGCATATTAGGTAATTTCAAGTAATGTTTAATCAATAGGAATTATTTCTTTTATGAACATAAAGTTTAACTGCAACATTATGATTTTAAAATTTTAGTGATTGAATTCTCAACTGACTTCCTTAGAAACTAAATGTATGTTTCTCTCTTTGTTTTCATTCGTAAATTATTTAAATTTTTCTTGCAATTTAAATAAAACTTATAATTCTTACTCTATGTTTTAAAAATAACAAAACAGAAATTGTTACGACTTCGGAAACATTTTCCAAGTACGTGGCTTTTGGTATGTTTCTCACAGAAAGTGCCTGCTTTCTTACGATAATTAGAAGTATGCATGCATTGCGATTCTAGGAACTAAATTGCAACAATTTACAATCTATTAATGAACTGCTACAACAAGGCAAATTTCAATTTTCTAATGAACAAGAATATTAAAAGCAGTTTAGGAACAACGCACTTACAAACTCAACGGAAAAATTTTAGTATTGATTTTTATGTTTCTCAAGAATTAATCATACAATTCGGTTTCATCATTATTATTTTTTTATTTCCTTACAGAAAATCACCTACCACAATATGGCGAAGTAAATCAATTAGGCGGTGTCTTTGTAAATGGTAGACCTTTACCGAACGCAACACGTATGCGCATAGTGGAGTTGGCGCGTTTAGGCATAAGACCCTGTGATATATCGCGACAGCTACGTGTCAGTCATGGTTGTGTTTCGAAAATACTTGCACGTTATCACGAAACTGGTTCCATATTACCTGGCGCCATAGGCGGTTCAAAGCCACGGGTGACCACACCTAAAGTAGTCAGTTACATACGAGAATTAAAGCAACGAGATCCAGGCATATTTGCTTGGGAAATACGCGATCGTCTGCTGTCAGAAGGTGTTTGCGATAAAACGAATGTGCCTAGCGTCAGTTCAATATCGCGTATACTACGCAATAAGCTTGGCGCTATGGGACATCATCACAATGCAAGCATAACAGGCAGTACAAATACTTCACCGCATCATCCTCATGCACACCATCATCATCATCATCACTCAGCGCCCCCCTCACATGCCGTTTCAGCTGTAGCTGCAGCAGCACATCACACAGCCGCTCATGCGCATCCACATTTATATAACTCCATCTATCAACCGTACAGTACATACGGTATGAAAACCGCTGTTTCATGTGGAAGTCCATCACCGCCTCAAGGTGGAGCCCAGGCACATCAATTGCACAGTGTTGCAGCTGCTGCAGCCGCGGCGCATTGTTGGCCGTCATCGCATTCAGTTACTGATATATTGGCACATCATCAGGCGGTTGCGTTACGCGCCAGTTGTCAAGTAGGCAACGCCATATCACCATTGACGCCAGCAATTCCAATGACACCGTCTCCAGTTGGTAGTGTGGCCGGCACAGGAAGTACGCAGCAAGCACTCGATAATGAAAATATCAGCACTAATGCAACACATCAGCATCAGGTAGTACAGCAACCCTATAATTATTATATGTATTTTCAAAATGGCGGCATGCACCATCATCACGGTGGTATGATGGCTGCAGGCGCAACGAGTTTATGAAGTTTGTTTTTGTTAATTAAATTTTTTTTTGTTTATGGTTTTAACTTTATATTTTAATATCGGAAAGGCGTAGAATAGAGATAAGTTTAAATACTCAATACCGTGTAACTTCATTTTGCCATAAGATAAAATGTAAAGGAATTTCATTAAATTAAGTTTTATTATAAGAAATTGTATTTTTAAGATATAAAAATGGATAAAAATTTAATTTTGAATTTGTATATAGTAATGAACAGAAAGAATTTATCAATACTCTTAAGTAAACAAAAATCTTGTCAAAAAAGAAAATAATAATGTGTAGTTATAAATTTGCAATAATAATTAAGTATAAAATAAATTGTAATGAAAATTTTAATTTTAATTTTACATTATTTAAATCAATTTTATAATGTTATGTAAAAAAAGTGGAAACCACAAAAAGATACATATCATATAATTTAATTAAGACTAGTAATTTAATTAAGCTTACTTTGGGATAACATGTATTATAGTTAACGAGTAAAGAGTTTTAGTTGTTTTGAAAATTGAATTTATAAAAATGTTAAAATTTATAACATAAAATTAATTTTTATATAAATAATATTGTTAACACAATAGTTTAAAATTTTGAACTTAATACTCAAGAAATATATAAAATTTTTCAAGAGAAATTTAAATATTTACAAAATCAATAATTACAGTGCAGGTACAAGATTTACTTCAGAAAATTATAAACTATACTTCTAAAAAAAAAATATATATACATCTAAATCACTTCTCATAAATGATTAAATATCTGTCACAATTACCGTCGGAGTTTCACCATTTGCAGAACACAGTGGGGTTTCTCTGGAATTATTCAATTAAAAGAATTTTAATGTATTTTTTAATAATTTATTATTAAGAAGAAAAAACAATCCTCTCTATGCTCTTATTTTTTTATAAATCAAAATAATCATTTAATAAACCTGAGTGTGTGATATCGTACATTATCCGCTATTTTATTTAAAATAACTTGTTTTACAATTATTCGGCCATATAAAGTCAACATTTATGAATTTAAAATCTTATTAGACTTTCACCCACTTTACAAGAGGAAGATAGATGCGTTCCAATAAATTTATCACAACAAAAAATCATATTAGCTTAAAATTCTTAGCTTTCTCTTGAGTTTCAACTAGTCCGTAACTATTCAATATGCAGTAAAAAATCTGACTAACCAGTTTTTACATTAAATAATTTTACCCAGTATCTAATTGCCAAATTTGTGACCATTTAATTTTTAATTTAAAAATATACATAAAAAAATAAATATTAGAAACTATTAAAAATTAAATAATATTTATTAATATTTTTCATAAATTACTTTAAACCATGTTTATATATTTTATATAGTTTGATTGTGTTAACATAATTACCACTAAAATTTAATATTGTATTCAAATTTATTGAATTTTTTTCTTTTTATCCCAGTCTTTGAATATATATTTCGTATATCATGTATATAAATCAAATAGTATTAAAATTATTATAGTTATTACAAGAAGTATTTCTATTATATAGTAAAAACAAAAAATTAATTGTATTTTTAAAAATAATTTTTTTTTATGAATAAAAAATTTTCAAAATATGTTAATAAAAAAATATTTCTTTCAATATTTAATTCTAAACGGTTTGTATCTATTTATTTATAAAATATTTAAGTTATTAATTAAATAATATCATTCTTTATCATTTTTATTAAATTAAGTTTTTACTTACTACTACTTAATAAAAAACAAAAAAAATTTTTAAGATATAAAATTAAATTTAAAACAATAAAAAATAAGAAACATATTAAAAAACAAATTTTTAATTAATTACTCTTAAAATTTGTTTTTTAAAAATATTTAAAATTAAACAAAAATATATAAATTTTTCACTTAATATCAGCAACATTCTGTTTCTTTCATATCCTGCTTAATCCACCCAAAAAAAAAATATCCTAAACCTGAACCTAAAATAATAGCCAAACAAATCCAATAATTGTAGCTCATAAATACTAACATTAGTAAATAGGATATTATAATTTGTATTAAATTAATTAAGGTCTGTATAATATGTGGAGCAGCTAATAGACGTTCCAGATATGTCTGTGTTCGAATTTCTTTTGGTTTCGAGTGACACCTGTTTGATTTCATTTCCATTTCCAGTGTCATACGTTTCACCTCTTTTCTCACTGTTAATCTTAGTAAATATTCTCGTAAACATTTAAGTAATTCATACAAAAATGCAACAGAAAATATAACTAATATTGCAAATAAAAATTCTGGAATACTACTGGCGATCCAATCTTTCCATAGAATTCTTTCACAATGCCCGCCGTGAAACTAACAAATAAATTTAACATTAATTATAATTGTTTTATTAAATAATTAAATAAATTGTAAATGAAAGATTCCGATAATAACACTTACCACCATTGAAGATGGACAAGATTTTTCCTCGTTAACGTCAATATTTTCCTGTGCATGATTATGATCCATTTTTAAACTAAAAAATATTTCAAGTAATAAATAGTTATAGTTTACGAAAATAAAATTAAATTTATTAAAAGTTAATAAATAGCTTTATTAATTTTATATGATTCAAGGAAAAAGTTTTATTAAAAAAATATTTGAAATATATTTTGAAAAATATATAAATCTTCCTACATTATAAAAACAAACTTAATAATTTGTTAAAATTTTATAATTTGATATACAATACTTTTTTAATATTTTTAAATATTTTTTGTTCAATGTTAGAATATTAACATATTTTTATTCGTCTTTTGGAGGAGTATTCCTTCCCCTTGCTTAATGAAACGCAAAGCAGCGCAACAACTGAGAAATTTATTATGTTGATGCTGCATTGAGAGGTAAGTCATTATATACATATTTCCTACTGGGTATCAATTGCGAATATGGATACATTTTAAGATTTATATTCGTTTAAGTTTTTTTATAAATTTTTGCATATTTCTAAATTACAGATTAATCGAATTATTAATTTATAATTTAAATAATTATAAATATTAAACCATTAATAAATATATTACCAAATTTTATTAATATGTTTTCGAACGGACTTATTGGTTAATTGTTTAAATAATACACAATTTTTTTTAAATATATTAAAAAATATATTTTATTGTCACCAATATTTCGATTATAGTCTGTAGTTATCTTTAGGGTACCTTTATTTTATTTTATTTTATTTTATTTTATTTTATTTTATTTTATTTTTTACTGATAACAAACATTTGTTTAAAATATATAATCAATGTATTTAAATAATTAATTTAATTAATTATCATCTTTTGGAATCGATATTTCATTTTTAAAAATAAAACTTTTGTTTAAACATAAAATAAATGGGATAACCTCTTAAAATCATCAGAACCTCTTAAAATTAAGGTAGCTTAATTGTCAATTGACTTTATTTTGAACATCAAAGATATAAAGTATATATGTTATGTGGCATATATATAATAAGATTATATATAATAAGAAGCAATTCGAAAATTTTCAAAAACCATAGAAATCTGGAGTATAGTCTGGAGTATACTCATACTTTCAATTACAGATGAAAGTAATGCGTTTGAATGATAACTTAACGTGTGGCAAATATTTTATATCTTAAAAAAATGAAGTCAATAAGGTATGACATCATTCATAGAATTAATAGACTAGCATTCTAACTGTGGGATTAAATTAATTTGATGAAAGTATGCAGTAGAATAGATTGAATTATATTTTCTATCCAATTCTCATCATGTCCCTGTTACTACCGAACTTCTGAATATTTTGAAGACTGTGAACTTGGATTACCGTCATTATATTAGTTGGTTTGAGGAAGTTATAATATTAAAACAATACAAAAAGGTTTTTTGTGAAGAATAACATAATATATGAAAAACTAAATGAAATAGTATTACAAAAACTTAAACTATATATAATATATAATTACTTAACATCGATTATGGTGCAATTTTTAAGGAAGACAACAGTTAAAAAAAAAACTTTAGAAAAATATAGAGTATAGAAAGTGATTAAAATTTATGTTTTAAAGAGTGGGGTATCACATTTTTTGGTTCAGGTTGCCTTTGAACCTTATAACGTCATTGCTGATAGACCGGCCGTATTTCGTTAAACCATTTTAACTGATTAAAACAAATGTATAGCTAATTGAATGTTTTAAAGAAGTACTAATTATATATAACTGAAATGTTATATATTTCAAGTTTCTGTATAGATATATCAATGTTGATTCAAATTTATTTATTTCCATATATGTATGTATATATGTTTAATGACATGTTGAACATTATTTCCCTAATGTAAATCGTCGATGAATACCGGATATAATCTATATAGAGAAAAACGCGTACATTTTAAGTAAATGGTCATATAAATGGTCAAATGTATCGATATATATGCATTCGAATATATAAAGTACATTCACTATATGTTTATTGTACTATATACAATCTTTAATTCAATGGTTTTACTATATATCTTGACTTTTGTTATATATTTATTTTTGATGTATCTTTGTGCATAATATAATAATATTATTATATGGTATCGCAAACTTTTAGAAAAATGTTTGATTTTATAAAATTTTGATTATAAGTAAGTATGTATGATATTTTAAAATAAATTTTAAAAGAATTTATATAATTTCTAGTATTTTTCTCTTAGTTCAATGGTCTTAGACCGCACAATCTCAATTATCACTTATGATTCACTGAATTCTGATTGCAGTAATGCATTTAAATTAATATTTAATGAATTATAAATATAAATATAATGGTATTTATAAATAAATATAAAATATTTATTAATAAAAGTTTATTTAAATTTTTTCGAGTTGTTTAACAAATCACACATTTTGTTATTATTTTCCATTCTCTCACCACTGTTTATGAAGCGTAAATAGCACTTGTCACTGTAAGCAATTTTTCTACTAAAATATCGTCAACAAACGTGTTGGTGTCTTACTCCACTGAAACGACTTGCAGTTAATTAAATCCCATACAAAAGATAAGAATTGTTTACGATTGTGGGATTTAAAATGAATTATTTTCACCGCTGAAGTATCTGATACGTAGAGTGACATTTTTATACGTAAATGTAAAATGAGTGAAGTCAAAATAATTACAATTTTTCACTTTAAGAACACAAACGACACGATCTCTTATAAAATTCAATGTGAAAGCAAAGTTATTATTATTTAGAAAAAAAATTAATTTAATAATATTATTGAAAAATATTTTTTTAAGTTTATATCTCCATATTTCTGTTCACTTGATCACAGACAATAAGTAATTATTATTAAAATTAAATTAAAATTTCTTTCCATGAAATGAATATTCTAAAAATCCAATGTAAACACCAACACATAGGTTTTATAATTGATATCATAAAATATACTCAATATTCCATATCTCCAATATAGAGACTTACGTTTTAAACCGTTGAATTGGTTTCGTAACTAAAAAATAGAAGGATTCACATAAGCTCTTTATGAAACTTTTTTATGGTCCTGAAATTCCATCAAGTATACTTCTTCAACACTCTTTATTATTTAAACTAAAATTTACTGACGACCTTATATCTCTACTTTCCATACTGTATGTTTAAATTACTATGTGCGGGATATGAGCAATTTAATTTATATGCTGAGATTGCTAGTCAAAGGGCAACATGCTATTGTTGAAAACTATATATACAAATACTCTGTGTATATTCTATACGTTTAATAAAAATATTATTAAACGAAAATATTATATCTCAGAGAGTGTAGCGCATAAGTAGAACAAGTAATTGAGTTTTATCTTATCAGTAGTTATTGAGACATGACATCAAACATATAAGAGACAAGAAATGAACAAAATAAACAAGTATAAGATTTATGTTTACTAATAAACTCACCTGTAATTGTTATTAAAAAATTACCAACTGTACGCTTTCATATATTAACAAATTAATTCTTATATTTCCTGACTTAAATAATTTCTTTTTTAAACATTTTTTATAAATTTTTGAAAATGAATAAATTTATTCACTAAAAATGCCCAACACCGAGCAATGAAGCGCTAGCTTTTATTACTTTTATAAGTAATAACGATACTACCGAAGTAATCACTTCAATCACGAAAATAGTTTAATTTGATAAGATATTTTTCTCATAAGAAAATTCAAGCTTTTTTGCACTCAACAAAGCATTTAATTAAATTAAAATGTGTACAATAAGATGTTGTTTATTACTGTTTATAACAAACCTAAAATTATGTTTTTTAATTATGAGAAAGAAAATAAGTTTATTAAAACTTTATCTAAACCATTCTTTAGCGCCTTTACCGAAATCTTAATCTGTCAATCAATCTTAGAAGGGAAAATGTGATATAAATTTATACAATTAAAACAACAAATAAAATAAATTTATTTAACTATAATTGTATAAATAAATTGTTGATATATATAACAAAATCTTCAAAGAAATACATTATAATTTAGTTAGTAGCAACCAGACAACGCTATCCAGAATCGCTGGTCCAGAACTAAAAATGAGGACGCAAGTATATTTAATCAGAATTTGCCATCCTCATAGCCGAACTTCATTCAAGCGTTTGGCTCTGTCATAGCAAGCAGAGACAACTGAACTTTAAATATAGTGTTCCTTATTAAGACGGTTAAAATTTACACTGAGGGCTTCAAATTAAACGACAAATTTAGCAGTAAAAACTTTTCTAGAAAATTTGGTCTTACCATCTTACTAAAAATACCTGATCATTATAGTGTTTTTCATGCAGAAGTTAAAACAATTTATTGTGCAACAGAGTAGGCACTGAATACGGTTTCTAGAATTAATGTCGCCATCTTCTTGTGATCAAATAAGAACTTTAATTTTTAATTTTTGAATTCCCGTGCTTAACAAATCGGTAAATTTTTCATCCATATGATATGCCCAACAACACTGCAATATCTCTAATCGGTTCACAACGATTTTCCAACACAATCTGCTTCGCCGATTCAATGTTTTCTTCAGTAACAGAAGTTGTTGGGCAGCCAGGGATCTCATCATGGTCCAAGCTTGTACGAACGTCTTTGAACCTTTTAAATTATTCGTATACTCGTGGTTGCGACACACACTTGAATTCAAAAATAGGCTGTATTTAATGAAATTGGTTTAAAAAGGCGTTTTTTTAATAAGTTGTCAGTGTCCAACTCATAGTGATATCTGGACGTGCTGCTCTCCAAAATTTACTCTGCGTTAAACTGACAATTAATCATAAATACCAAGGATTGACGAGGAAAACCTTGCTATATCTACTTATTTGGAAGATAAAGATTCTTGTCAGATGACAAAAGTCACCTGCTCCGAATTGGATAAAATTTGTACCAGTTATGTTTTTCAACTATAGCGGTATCAACTCAATAATATAGTATCGGTACTGCCAGGACATTGGTATAAGACGTGGTCTACTCTCTCTCGACTTTTGTCGGGGATGTGGTTTTTTGGTTCACGAGTAAATTATACTTCAAATCATGTGTCAGTGTCCATCATTGGATAGAAGAAAATTCAAAATAATAAGGACCCATTTTTAACTGACCTGAAAATCAGTAGAGGTACCCCTCTTCTTGAATGGGAGAGTCAGGCCTTTTCAGAGAACAGCTGTTTGTAATGGCTGCGTTATAAATTTCAGTTATTTGAATATATAGTATTATTGTATTATCCATAAATAGTTCACAATCCTGCATAAAATATTTTTCGAAGTAAAAAAAGTAAATTTGCGTATACAAACGTTAAGTATCTTTATTGATTTTACTATATAAAATATAAATATATAATATACAAATGAATTTTTGAATTTTAACACATTTTTAAATTTTATTGTTAAAAAGTGAAAATAAATTTTACCTTCTAACGTTAAAACTTAGGACGGAGTTAGGGTTTATTTATTGAAGATTAAATAATTTATGAAAAAAAAATTAATAACTGTTATCTTATTTTTTTTTCTAATTACTATAAAATAAATTTTGATATTTTTACTATTGCATATGTAATAGTTACAGATAATTAGTATTATTCTTAATTAATGAAATACAATTTTACTTTTTTATTTCAATGACAGCAATCCTTTTCAACGCCTTTTTTGATCCAACCAAAGAAGAAGTAACCACATGTTAAACCCAAAAAGACTGACAAGCATAACCAATAATTGTAGTTCATGAAAACCAACATTATCAGATATGATATAATGACTTGAAAGAAGTTTAGAACAGTCTGTAACAGATGTGCCGGATCTGTTATTATTTGCCAATAATTTTTCCTTCTTATTTCTGCTAATGGTGTACAAGAACCACTGTTATGTTCTGAAGACATAGGTTGCGACGCAGCTTTTGCAGCTTTGATGAGTAAATATTCACGGTAAAATTTAAGAGCCTCATATATGAAACAAATTGCAAACCAGGCCAGACATGAGAATGTAAACTCAGTAACAGTGTATGCAACCCAACTAGTCCACAAAATACGTTCACAGTGTCCACCATGGAACTGAAAAAAAATTCAAAAGTTATTTTCTGCTTGTTTATTAAGATTTATTTATAAATATTTAAAATTTAGCTGAATCATAATTTATTGTTCAAATCGAAAAAAATTGAACTATTGTACATTTCTGTAACTTACAAACATCCAAGTCCTCTTATTTATCCATTTGCTATCGTTCTTTTATAAGTACGAAGGAAATAAGCCGTCTTTCGATAAGGTCAAGATCACTAACATACAAACAAGACTCAAATCTTAAAATCACTCTATGCTTCTATCTAAAAATTTATATGAATTTCCAAGTAACAGATTTAAACAGAAGAGCGGCACCCAGAGTAGACTGTCGCCCATATTCTTGTTGGCTGCGCAATGTCAGGTAGTAAAAGCACGGGCTTTACTACCTGTCATGTCATGACTCCTAATGGGACATTGGTGAAGTTAAAACCACTCACAATGTTAACATAATCCATATATAATTATTTTTGTCAAGCTTTTATAATACGCTGGAATGCGCGTTTTTTTTTAAGTTGTGACCAGTTACTAGACTACCACGTTTTATATTTTATTGTCGAACAGATATCCTAGTTAAAAACGATGAATGATTTTGTGCTTATTTATTTTTTTACGATTGTCATATTCGCGTTCGATTAATAATTAAATATCATGTCTCCAAGCTCTCAGAGTAGTAGTCCTTTTTAATTTAATCTTTCTACTAAGGTATAATTACACATTCGTAAAGGCATTTTTCTATTTAAGTTCTTTTACTTAAAATGTCAATCCGGTTGTTTAGAATTCAGAATTATTTAAATTTAATCAAAGCATTTAAAGCTCTTTATATACTTTTCTTTTTATTAAAAAATAAATTATTCATGAAAAATATATATGATGTATATCATCTAATACAATTCTATACTATATATAAATATAGAAAGCGTGAATATCATAAATACATTTATATAAATAACTATTTCATAATATTTGATGGTTTCATTATTTTAAAGAATATTATTTTATTACAAAATAGTTTATGCCTGTGAATATTATTATTTAAGTTTTTCATATATATGGCAATAAATATGGGACGGAATTTGGATATTTTGGAGTTCTATTGCATAAATGCATTACTATAAACTGAAAATTATTAAGAAAGTTTAAATAAATATAAAACTAAATTATTTTTAAATTTGAAAACAATAATAAAAATGTTTTTAAAAATTGAAGACGAATTAGGTATTCCAAAATATAATTAAAAATACAAATATGCAATAAATATACCAGTTATAAACAATATATATATATAGACATATATTTTCTAATCGAATCACTTTAAAGGATAAAAAATTGGATTTATATAATATAATATACATAACACATAATTTTAAATTATATATTTTAAATGAAAATAAACTTATAAAACAAACTGATTTAGTTTAAATAA